CAAGCACAAGCTGCGCCTAGTGGCAAAAGTCTGAAGACAGGGTGGGTGATGTGGGCAGCGAGCTGGGCCGCCCCTCGGGACGGGTGTGGGAGAGGAGCCTGGGTCCCCGCCCTCAGATGCAGAAAGAGCGGCCTGACCGAGGGGAGAAGATGCAGCGGGAAGTGCCTCCTCCACCTGCTCCAGCCCCGTGTGAGCATGTGAGCACCGTGGTTGCCATACTCCTGGTGAGGAAGGTCCCTAGGCCACGGGAGCCCCCCTGGGGGCCAGGTCAGGTATTCGAACCCAACTCTACCCACAGGATCCCTGCTCCCAGGCTGCCTCCTGAGTCACCGGCCTTCACTAGCACGCCATACCCAAGCCCACTGTGAGCTCCAACACCACCCATGTGCCCCCAGGCCCCCATGTACCCCTGGCCCGCACAACAGCCCCCTCGCGGCTCCCAGCCGCCCTCTGAGGTGTGGTACAGTCCAGCTCCTGCGTCAATGTCCCTCAGTCATAGCACCTCCCCCCTCAAGAGGGTTCACTTCTCCTTCCCTTCCTTGAACTACCCCTTGGTGACGGCAGGAATCTGTCACAGGGCTCAAGACAAAGGAGAAGCTGGGCCTCTCCATTCAACCCAACTCAGGAACCTGAGTCTGTGGCCCAGACCCTCGATTCTGAGAACAGCAGGGGACAGCTGCGGGATGTCACGGAGCCCACCTCCACATCACGACTCACCACCCCACAACCCTTTGCCACAGCTCTGCAGACAGACCTGCTTCCCCAGGGGCTGCCCCAGCACAGCAGCCGCTCCTGCGTGGCCTGGGGGTGGAGGTTACCACAATTCCTCATGCTAAGGTCTCAAGAGCCTGCCCCACTCAAAACCCCACCAAAGGGACACATTAACAAGATGCTGGAAGGGACAGGCCCTGGAGGAGGCCAGTTCAAGCCTGGGCCTGACCACTGGGACAGCAGGGAGCCGAGTGTCCCCCAGACCTGGCGTGAGGGCCCAGAGATGCAAACAACGGGAGAGATGTAAGACTTCGGGCCAGATGCGCACGCACACACACACTCGGAGGGCCTGCTGGGAGTCAGCAGAACCAGTCCAGCCACCACCACCTCCCGCCTTCACAGCCTGTGGAGGAGAGTGCAGAAGGCATCGGCCTGTGGGCAGGAGCACAGTGGTCAGGCGGGCGATGCTGGCCCTCGCCTCAGGTCACTGAGGAGTCAGAGGGTCCTATTCAGAGGGTCAGGAAGAGAGCTGGTCCCCAGTCCCCGGAAAGACCCTTGCCCAGCTGGGAGTGTGCTGCCCAACAGGTGCAGACAACAGAGCAAAGCAGGTGTAGAGAGAGCCCTGGCAGAGGCCAACCTGTGCCACGCATATATGAGGGTCCCAGGAACTTGGGAGGGCAGCACCTGCTTCCACCTGGAATCTGCAGGTGGCAGGGCCCCTACGCAGGCGGGGAATGAAAAGGGGCAGGTGGTGGCCTGGGAGGAGACACTGGGTGGGCAGCAGCCTGTCACCTGTGTGGCCCCACCTGAAGAAGAGATTGGGATGGAAAAGAGACAGAGACAGAAGGAGAGAGCGCCAGGATGAAGCTGACCCCATGATATAGACACGGCCACATGGCAGAGTCACCCACAGGCAGAGCAAGAGCCAGAGGCAGACAGGCACAGTCACATGAGATATCCCTGCCCCTCCCCGGGCCAGCCCCAGAAGAGCCAGATTCCAAAGATGACTACAGGAAAGGCTAAGAGCACAGGACACACCTGCACTCAGGCCCTGGACAGACTGAGCTGTGGCTGCGCCGGCAGGTGGGCACACACAGCCACCTCATGGCGGTGCCACCCGGCTGCACTGTGTGCATGCAGCCTGTACTCTACAGACCTCAGGGGAGAGTTACTAATACCCCCCTCGGGGCTGCCAGGGCGGCGAGCAGGTAAGCTCAGGCACTGGGAAGCATAAAGGGTGTCAGAAAGAACCTTCCAGTTCATTCCATGCCTTCTCCTCGGGCGTCAGGGGCTGGTGCAAACCCACCTCCTGAGGATGCAGGTCCCGCTCAAGTCTCCCAAAGTTTGGATGTCCCCAGGAAGTCCCTAGGGTTATCACTAAACTGTGTCGTGTGCACACATTGTGTCCCTACCCCACTGGTCTGCTCCTGAAGAACCAGGTGTTACATTAGAGGAGATTACGTTTTCTATAATAAGAGTTTCAAATATTCTACCATAAAGGATAAGCCTCATGCTCAGATGTCACAAACGTGGGTGACTCTGGCTCCACGTGCACTGACTCTGTGACCTTGAGCAAGTGACTTAACCTCTCTAACCCTTTTTTTAAAATAGAGACACGTCGGCACTTTCACAGGGTTGTTGTAAACAATAAACAAGAGACACCACTTAGAACTGTGCCTACCACGTGGTACCTGCTTAATTGGTGGCTGCTACCCTCCCCCTCCAAAATCTGATTTACTTGCTGTGAGACGGGGCCAGCAGCAGTAATTCCTAAGCTCCCCTGGCTTCTGGTGGTAGGAACCTCTGTAAGTCTAAGAGCAGACGTGGGAGGGAGAGGGACAGAGCAGTGTCCCTCTGGACACTGGGAGCCAAAAGGCGGCTCCTTTGTGACTCCCCAGAGTATGAGAGTTTTGTCAGGGAGCCAGGGAATGGCTTTGTCTTGCCAGCATCCGAGATGCCAGCACTTAGGTACCATCTCCTCCTGCCAGCCACCTGAAGACAGAAAAAAACACCCAGGGACATAAAGAAGAAGGGCCACGGCTTGGAGCCCCTGGGCTTGAGCGGCTTGAGCTGTCTGCCTGGTGGTCAGTCTTTCCCTCGCTCAGCATTTACTCCCCAACCAGCAGATGGTGCAAAAAAAACGTGCACTTGGCCCCAATCCAGCAGAATTTGCATGTCATTACCAGAGCCATGGCCAGCTCACAAAGGGACAGAAGATCTCAGTGTGGAATTCGACCGCTGTCACAGTTCTCGAAGTAACATCAGCCCACCTGACCTTTGTGTCTTGCTGGAATCATGCCTTTCAATCCAATTAAAAAGCCTGAGCGCCTGCAGAGGAGCTGACTTCCTGAACTGGTCTTTGGGCTCAAAACTAGTATTTGGAGAAATAATACACATTATTGGTGGACTGGAAAATATACTGTTATACGGAACTAATAAGACTTTAGTCTGCCTGGTCAGACGTGGCTCAGGATCCAATCTCCTAGGATCCAGGAGATTGAGGTTCGATTCCCAGTCAGGGCACATGCCCGGGTTGCAGGCTCGATCCCCAATGGGGGACATGCAGGAGGCAGCCGGTCAGTGACAACTCTCTCATCATAGATGTTTCTATCTCTCTCTCTTCCTCTCCCTTCCTTTCTCTGAAATCATAAAGATTTTTTTTTTCAAAGAAGGCTTTAGTGTAGATCCATTTTGAGATAACAGCTACTAAACAGTACATATGCTATTTATTAGCCACAAGTATTTCCTCCAAATTTTTAGTCAGGGGCTCCCACTTTCCAATCATTCCTTTCTCTACCTTTTCTTTTTGTTTTCTTTTTTTATTCAGTCAATGGCATTTTCTTTAGAGAAACAGACACTGTTAAAAGGAATGGAATGCCCACTTGCACCATGAGACAGCTCTTCAATTACCCTCAGCAGGTGACATGCCTGGTGCCTTCGCCTTGGGCAGAGTCCTAGTGAAAACAGGCAGTTCAGTGCTTGGAAAGCTCATGACAATCAGAGCCGGTGCGGATGTGATGGTGGCCGTGCTATTAGACTTTAGACAATACTTAACACAGTGTTTGCAAAGTACTTTACAATTACTCCACTTTCATTAACTCCAAGGAGACAGCAGCCAAGCCAATTTGCATGCTCTCCCATTAGCTTATTAACAATACTCCCCATAAAATGACTCCTGTAAAAGCGCCCCAGTAAAGGCCCAGGCTTGTGCTTGGGGTCTGACCCCTGCTGCAACAGCTCGGGGAGCTGGGTGTCACCCAGGACTGCTCTTTAGCATTTCTGGGGAGTGAGTTAGTAAGTCGTAGCTCAGTGCGGCTGCTGGGCTGGAGGTTCTAAAGGTCTCATCCAAACAAGGAAGGTCCCACCTGCCATCACTCGAAAAAGTCAGTCTGGTCCAAACGTGCAGATAGATGACCTTTCCAGGCTGGAGTAAGAGCATGGAGGGGAACTCTAGAGTTCAAGCCGTCCAGGGGGCACTCCTGCCATCAGTACCTATTCTGGCGCGTGCACACGGCTGGAGCGCGCCCGGCACAGAGGGAGCCCCACACCCACTGGACGGCGGTTCACTTAGAGACGCACAGGTGGCCTCCAGCCCTCACTGTCTTCCTTCACCCCTTTCGGAGACGGGAGGGCGTTCCCTGAAAGGCCTGCAAGTAGGTGCCAGTGCCCCCCGCCCCCCGCGCTCAGC